GGGCTGGGGATTCGAACCCGCCACCTTAGGTGTACGTGGCTGGCGCCTTAGCCGGTTGAGCTATAGGCGCTGAGCCAGTTTTCTTTATTTTTTCTTAATCAGATCCATGAGAGGTTCCAATTCTCCTTCCCAGATTTGCAGGGCCAGCACTCTAAGTACTGAGCTACAGGACCCAGCTGAATTAAGATGTCCACTTGCCACTATAAAGCCTGCCATCAGGCCTGTCACTTGCCCCTCACTTTGATACGAGTCTATAAGCAATTGATTTACTATGGTCTCTGTGCAGTCAAACCTCTCTGATAATGATCATCTGTATTTGTAACCATTCCCCAGTGCCAACATCAACACCTCAGCTCCACCTCAGATCATCAGGCATCACATTCTCATAAGGAGATGCAACCTAGCTCCCTCGCATGAGGGTCCATGCTCCTATGAGAGTCTAATGCCATTACCAATCTGACAGGAGGGAGCAGCAGTGGGGACCAGCCGTGAAGCTTTGCTGGCTTGCTGGCTGCTCACCCGCTACTGTGCAGCCCTATTCCTAAAGTGGACTTGTACTGGCCCATAGCCCAGGGGTTAGGGACCACAGGTCTATGGAACCTCTATTGTTTCTGTGTTAAAGGAAGCTGGGGAAACTGAGCTCAGTAAGAGGAAATCTCAGCCTGCCCTTTATCCCAGAGCCATTCCACTCCACTGTGCTGTGATGCCCACTCCCTCCCTGGCCACACTTCCTTCTTTCTGCCTCTTGCAGGGTCTTCTCTCACCCCACCAGCCACAGGTCACCCCTACCTCCTGGCTTCAGCTCTGGCCACTTTCACAACCAGAGCCCAGAATCTAGATACCTTCATCCTGACCATGGGTGGGTTGGGGGACATGCTGCTCACTTCAAGGACTGTGGGACTCTGAGGCAAAAGACTGATCCCAGGGACTATGGCGGGTACCAAGGGGGTGAAGCTGGAGAGCATCTGGGCAGAAAGGGATGGCCCCAGGCCAGGAGGCCCCTGACAAGGCCATGGCACAATGTAGATTTTAGAGAGCACTCACCTTCCCCTTGCTGCCTTGACCCCAACCTCGCATGGCTCCTAACCTTCCACTGGTCACCAGGGCTCACCAAGCAACAGAGAGGGCTGAGGAAGGTGCAAGCGCTATACAGGGTCTTGTCCTGGGTAGGTAAAGATCCTCTCTTAGGCCTACACCTGATTCCAAGGGATCTTGGGGCCTCCTGCCCAGGTAACTGTGGGTGCAGGGAGGCTGACTGGGGCCTTCCAGCC